GGGCTCAGGCTCAGCATGCAAGGCTGCGGGGTTGCCGCTTCCGCTGCCGCTTGCTGCGCCTGCGCTCCACACTGGAGCTGCAGCAAGGGCTCCGGCTTGCGGGAGGGGCGCCACATCCAGCTCCAACGGAAACAAGTCGGGGCCGGGGCCACGCGCCGGCGCCGGCCACTTGGCGGCAGTGAAGTCAGCCAGCGTGTTTTCAATGGCTGCAAGGTCAACGCACTGATTGGACTCCAAGATCTCGCGAACGTAGGACTCGTGCAAATCGTCAAGAAGATGGTATATGACGCCAGTGGCCAACTCGACGGCCTGTTGGCCTGCCAGAGGACACGGGCCGTAGTGAGAGCCGTCCCCGACGCCCTGCTGCAAACCCAAGGTTTGCCTGACAGCATGTAGCCTCTCTGCGGCGGTGGCGGCGGGGGCAGAGTTGGCGGAGTCACCGCTTCCGGCGGGGTTGTCGCCGCTTCCAGCGGCGGCGGCGGGGCGGGGCGAAGAAGGGCCTGGACTGCGCAGCCAGGCGTGGCATGGGCAAGACTCAGACCAAACACGGAGGTCTTCGCTGAACTGGCTTAACTTGCACACCGTGTTGCTGTACAGCCAAAACGCCTCCGAGCGAATGCTCTCTGTGATGGGGCGCAAGTTGGTCAGGTCCACGTATTCTGCAGGGTCAGAGTTGCGGTCACCCTCCGCTGCCGCTGCTGCCTCTTCCCGCGCCTGGGCATCTGGCTGCTGCCCAAATTTGTGAGGATCCCAAATAGTTTGCAGCAGGCGCTTGAAGCCCAACAACTTTGGAAGGATTCTTTGAATTGTGCTCCACCGCCACAGGGCAGGCTTCTCCAGGCCTGTCTCAAGCCGGGACTTCATAAACTCCCAAGGAGTCCCAAGCAAGCAGGTTCCGATCAGCCGCTTTCTGAGCTCTGGACGGTAAAACAGTTCAGCCAAGGCTTTGAAAGACTCAATCCAAGAAGCCCAATTGGCAAAGGACCTATAAATATCCGCACACATGTTGTGAGATACGTGCAAGAGTCCTGGAGAGGGCAAGGAATTGGGAAACACATAGCCGTGGTGCATGGCCTGAGAGCTGTTTGGGGTTGGGGCCCGCTGCGGGGCGCTCACCGCTGCCTCGCTTTCCAGGCCAGAGTCGTGAAACCAGGCTGGCAACACGTCGGCAAGCTGACAGCCATCGCGTCTGCAAGCCCGGACTCAGTGCCCAAGTCTGTGCAGAAGCCCCAAACCTTGGACAAATAATTCTGGGTGGCTTGCATGCTTTGACACTCGGCGTAGACTTTCCGACACATGGCGATGAGTTTCCGCTCTAGCGAAGTTTCTCCGCTTCCTAAGGCAATTGGAATCTGCCGGTGCAACTGCGTGTGTTTTTGCAGACACTCGCCTAGTTTGTGGCGCTCTTCGGCTATCTCTTGCAAGGCGGCAAGGTCCGCTTCCTGGTGACATCTTTGGAATTCCGTGGCTGAAGTTTCCAAAGTCTGGGCTGCGCAGGCTGGAGAAAGGGATCGCCCTAAGCAAGCTGAGAAGCCAGTCCCTGCGGGCTAGAGTCTGCCCACAAGTACAAAACACCATCAAACGTGGCAAACGTTTGAGCAAAGTAGGTGCGCATGGCAGCATCCACCAAAATTTGCGAACGACAAATTGAGGCAGCAGATGGAGGCTTTTGGTGCATCAGTTGCTGCTGCAAAGCATGACTCTGGGGCACTGACTCAAGACCCAACCGCAAAACCTCAGGAAGCTTGCTTCTATCCCGCAAGTACATCGATGCGCATAGAGCCTTGATCAATCGATTGCTTGCGAGAAAATGCGGCTGCGCCCGCGGCGGCTTGAGCAAGAGATCGCAAGCGACGGACATTGCTTTCCAGGAACACTTGAGCAGCAATCCTGTCTTCAACAGACTGCTGTTGCTGCAGTATGCAAGGCGCCCATGCCCTGAGCTGCTGGGCAAGCTCTGCGGCATGCTGGGGAGTGAAGGCGGTGGTGGAGCAGTCATCATCGAGCAGCGCTTGCTGGGGCTGAGGCTGAGGCTGAGGCCTGTCCTTCTGCTGCCTCTCGATTTGCTCCACCATCTTCACCCAGCCTGCGGCTGGAAACTGGAGCTGCTCTCTTATTGTTTGGGAAGCCTCGGCAGCGCGGTGCTGCTTAGCCATGAGGCTCTGAAAACCAAGCTGTGCCAGGCGTGGCAGAATATCAGCTCGAGCGGCAAGGCTGGGACTTGGAAGCAAGGGGGTGCTTGCAGAAGCCTGTCAATGTCCTCTGCGGTAACCTGCATCCGCTGCTGGAATTGGCTGCGGCTTAGCCCGCTGTGATGCTGAAACAGCTGAAAGCCTAAGAAAGGGTCGGAAGACCACAAGGGCAGCTTGAACCGGGCGGGGCAATGAACCTCCAAAAGCTGAAGGAACTTCAGAGCAGCCTTGACTTTCAAGCTGTACAAATCAAGGCCGCCACGCCAGTCACACAAGGCTTCCTCCTGGGGGCTCCAACAGGTTAAGGAGCCCATGGATTCCTGGCCAGGCCCTAAACTCACAATGCCCAAGGGGCCACAGCTGTAGATGTTGGCTGCTCCGGCTCCGGCTGCGGTTCATTGGGCAGTCTATGCAGCTGTGCCAAATGAGCAAGGGCGGGGCTTAGCGCAAATGACTGCTTGCGGATCTGCCCGCTCTGGTCGTAAACATTTTTGCGGCCATAGCTTGCGGCGAGCAACAGTAAAGGCATGATTCATACATGGCACGCGACACACATAACAGCAGCAAAAGAGAACAAAGCAAAAGACGCCTTGAGCCAGCCTAGACCTGCAAGGTTGCGAAACTTGACCGATGCGGCATTAATGCTGGGCTGGGCCCCCGGAAAAACTACAACTGCTAAAGAAAATCTGGTGCGTGGGGGGGGCTGGGAACTCACTTCTGTTTCCAACGCTTGTGTGGAGGAGGCTCAGGCGGGAGACTTGACATAGGATTCGAGTGTCTACTATTGTGGGTAGAAGCGACACTGACACTGGGGATTAAGAAACATGTTTTTGCTGTGGCTTCGGGGCTAACCTTGGCCCGCTTCGTCTTTCTCTGCCTCCTTTTTTAACGGGTGCAAATTACGCGTATCGCAGTGCGCGCACATGCTGAGCCTAGGCTTCCAATGCCTAAAAAACAAAAGCAGTCTGAAGATCCGGCTGGGCTGGCTCACTTGGAGACGCGAAGCGCAATCATTTTTTCTTGGACTTTGGGGCTGCAAAACAATGAGGTCAGCGAAACCCGGGCTTCTTTTTTCTCAATTTTGTTTATTTAAAAAAAGAGAAGAAAAACCAGGTTTCCCGGGTCTCAATTTTCCAAAGTAAAAAAAGCCAAACGAAATCCAGATTTCCGGGGTCTCAACTCTCCAACAGTGAGAAAAAAACAAAATCCAAGTTTCTGGGGTGCCAATTTTCCAAAGTTAAGCAAAAAACCTGATTTCGGGGTCTCAATTTTCTAAAATGGAGGAAAAACATAAAATCCAAAATTTCGCTTGTTTCGGGTGCAAACAAAACGAGCAAGGCTAAATGGAAATCTCAGATACCCTCGCCTAGTAAACTGTTGCTTTACAACACTGCTGAACGAAGGAAGCAGATTGCTGCTCCTGCCGCCAATGTGCTCTGGGTCTGGCCTGTCACAACTGTCTGGCATGAGGCGAAATATGTTTATTTCGGTCGAATCAAAGAGCACCAAGACGTCCGGGGGCGGAGTCATTCAGTTTACATGCACGCCACACAAACGCTAGAAAGAAAACAAACACACCATAACAAACCCTCACCTGCAAGCGCAGGCGAACACAAAGCGACGCTGTCTGCCAAAGCAGCCGCAAGCCGGCCTAAGCACGGCGATCCCCTCCCAGAATTACTGCTCTTGTTGCGTTGAAAGCCAATGCGTGAGAATCACACACACACATGCGTTGACTAGCTGAACCACGTCAGCTTCTGTGGTTGTGGGTAATGCTCCCCCAACACTCACTTACAGTAACCACACCTCCGAGCAACCCTAAGGTCGCTGCTAAGCCAGCGGCACACTGAACACAAATCAGCTCCAACCACATGACCCCCAAACCAACCCAAGACCCACCCTCGTTAGTTGGCCGCCAGGAAGGGGGATGGGGGGCAGGGGGGGGGGGGGGTGGACAACATTTTCTCACTTGCCCAAAGGACCCAGAAATAAAAGGTTAACCTTTTGGGCCCATGACTAAAACTAGACCAAAAAGGAAAAACCAAAAGGTTAAAAGGTCGGCTCTGGGCAACTGAGTTTTGTAATTCTGTTGAAAAGAGAAATGGTTGAAAAGACTGGGGAACCAACCCCTAAACTTATGTGACATCTACAACGAAACTAAGATCGATAAGTGCCAAACAAAAGCAAGTCCACCAGCGAGAGGCGCACGAGCTTCAAACAGGCTTGCCCAAACCGCCGCGCGTCGTCGGCCGGCGGCGGCGGGAGCGCGCGCTCGGGATCGGAGGGCGTGGACGAGCCGCCGGCCGGGTGTCCCAAATTGAGGATAGTTGGGTGGTGTGTAAAGGGAAACTGTCAGCAAACCAACCAACAGTTCGGGCACCTGTCTCTTAGACACGCCCGTATTCTTGGACCCTCCCCCAAGCGAGTTGTCAAAATCTTCCTACTGGAACAGCACTCAACTCAACCAAGAAACAATGTGTGTTAGCATGATAGACACTGCAATGTATACAAATGTGTCTACGCGCGGCATACATACATTTGTCACAAATAGATCAACTGAACCAAACACGTGACAGTGACCTGAGCAGCGTAGCGGGACTGCCTCTAAATGGCGAACCCGAAAAAACAGGCAACTGGAGCATACTGGAAGCACTTCTCAAGTTCAACATGAGTCATTTTGAAAATTTGGAAAAGCGGTCTACCCGCTGCAAAGGTTGATATCCGGCCCTGGCGTTGGGAGTGTCCCTTACCCTTACCCTTGATCTACCCGGGTGTTGATCGTGGCTCAGCTGTTTGCAGCAAGGCGTCGCTGCCACGGCCTCCTTCACGAGCGGCAGTTTTGAAAAGGCCTGCGGCCGTGCTTGAAGATGCGGCCACTGCAAAAACTTCTTTCCCCACCAACCTGCGATGCGCGAGGAGATCCAGCGCTGTCGAAAACAGACCTTTGCCAATCGGTTCTGACCAGGGATTGAAAGGAGTTGGGAGGGGGTGCTGAGGGAAAAATAAGGGGGTATATTCACCTTCCTCTACATTCATAAAACTGGCGCAAGTCCCCCAAAAGCCCCCAATCAAAATCAACAAGCGGCTCATTATTCCTTGGCCTTTACTGGACGCGAAGGGTAGGGCATCTGCTACGAACCCGCTTAAGTAAAATGAAGGGCTGAGGTACGCCCAGCCCCCCCCCCCCCGCATCGAGGCCTTGGGCCGGGCCCAAAAACATTTCTTCTATAATATACGTATGCGCGCGTATCTTTTCTTGTTGACAGATGTGTCAAGACTGGACACCGCCTTGGATTCTGATTGAAAGGAAATCTACACCCCAAGCATTCGGACCATCCAACCGGCTGAAACTGTAATTGAAGGTCACCTTTCTGAAACCTTTTGATTGACATCGCGGCTAAGGAATCCACATCTCTCGGGCCTCCTCCTCAAAGAGCTTCCGCACCTGCAAAGGAGATACCGACCACCGGGCTAACATTAAGTTTGGAGGGGGCCGCGTACTACACCTCTACCACACGAAAGCGTGCTCTGTGTTCTACACTTGTCCTACAAAGTTGCGAAGTACTCTTCCGCAGCCCCAGCTCGAAAATCGCAACTTTGTAGCACAACAGTGTGCGAAGCACACGTCCACAGCTCCAGCTTGAAAGTTGTACAGTAGGAGTACAAGTGTCGCACGCAAAGTACGCTTGCGCAGCTTCAACTTGAAAGTCTAGCGCGCGAGACGCACATTCGCAGGCCCAGCTCGAAAATCGCAACAAGTAAGTACATGCGCCGCGCGCAGCCCTAGCTCGAAAATCGCAACTCTGTAGAATTAAAGAGCCGGATAACCTCACATGTCTAGCCTTAGAAAACACAGGCGCGCGTGAACCGGAAACATGCACGGTAGCCCGCGAGATACGGCGAGTGCGAGTCACTGGAAGAGGTGAGACATGTCTGGCAGTCGCACGACGTGGTCTCGTTAGTTGGTATAAGGGGATTTATAGCCAAGGTTAGCAGAACTAGCAATTGTGTATCTAAGATAACTAGAACTAACTGCAAGAAACTAGAATCAGTAAAACTAACTAAAAAATCTAGAAATAACTTTTCAGACGACTTTTATGCACTTGTTGTGCAAAAGCAACAAAATGAGGAAATCGCAACGAATTATCGAGTTTTGCATAAAAACAGCTAACAGTGCGCAACTGGACTGGCAGTCTGTAACATCTGTGCAGCCATGGAAAAACCAGCTAATTGTGGCGAGTGTTTGACAAGCAGGAGTCCATGGGAGCCTGTGCCTCACAAGCGTGCTTGTTGGTTGAGCGTTCGGTCCTCATATTTTTTTGCATGGGTGTTTGTCCGTTGAGTAGCTGCAGCAGGAAGCTTTCGCGCGAGCTTTGTGAGCTTTGTGTCTTTGGACAGCCGGGGTTTCCGGCATTTGGCTGGGCCAGTTTTCGCCACGCAGGATTTGTGTTGGCAGCTGCCTTTGCTGAACCCGAAGCTTGCTGCTGCGGGTTTGCGCGGGGATTTCAGCAGCAGGTTTTTTCATGAGTCACAGGACTTTAGTCAGCCCCCCTCAGGTGACACTTCTCAGGTGAAAACACTTAAACATGTATTTGGGGACATTTGAGGGAACACGTTTGTTTTGAAACATGCATGCGGGTGTGTCTCCTGGAAGGTTTTGAGCAAAAGCCTGCAGTTCTGAGAGTGCTCAGCAAGGAGTGGGTTGAAAACGTTGTGTCTAAATCTCTCTTTCAGTGCTATGCCTCAGCCGGGTCAACTAAAACACATCGCACCAGTCAATTTCCGAGAAATCTAGGGTTCCTTACTTCTGTAAAGATAAGCACTGAGTTTGCTGGAGCTGTCTGTGCCTGCTGGAGCTTTATCAGAACGGTTCCAACTGTTGGAAATAAACCTCGCAGCGGGGAAATGTGTGATTTGTGATCGTGTCTGTTGCCACAGTTTCTTGCTCCTTTGTTTGTTTTGATATGCCTTGTCGAAGCGTTTTAATCTTGTCATTGTTGTGTTGCGCGTTTGTTTTCGTTGGGGGGGTTGAAGCATTTAAGAGCATTTGAGTGCATTCGAGTGCATTTGAATGATTTGAGCGCAGTAAAGCTCCCTTCAGGGAGAAGCCATTCATAGCCATTCAATAAAAGCTTGAGTCAACGAGGTTCAGCTTCCATAGGGATTGTGAATTGAAATGCTCAGTTGGAGCAAATAGTTAAATGATGATGTCCAAGTCTGGTACGTAAAAAAGGCCTCAGTTCATTCTGTAAGCCACCATTGTGAAGTTAAAAAGCATTTGAGTGCATTCGAGTGCATTTGAATGATTTGAGCGCAGTAAAGCTCCCTTCAGGGAGAAGCCATTCATAGCCATTCAATAAAAGCTTGAGTCAACGAGGTTCAGCTTCCATAGGGATTGTGAATTGAAATGCTCAGTTGGAGCAAATAGTTAAATGATGATGTCCAAGTCTGGTACGTAAAAAAGGCCTCAGTTCATTCTGTAAGCCACCATTCTAGTTAAATCCATGCAATTTAGTAAAGTCTTGAAGACCATGGGGCGCACATCTTTGCACGCATCAACGGGACACGCCACAGCTTCCATTGGTCCGTGTTCTTGAGTGGGCTAGGCAATCGCACCGAAGAGAAGGTACAAGCAGGGTCGAGCAAACCAGCGCACATGTGTCAAGCATATTTGGGCCACAACCACAACAGCTTCAAACAGGCGCGACACGTTGACCAACAACACCACACATTTGGAAAAGAGCAGTTAAGAACATGGCCATAACAAGTCTTAAAAATCCAAAACAAGAGTGAATAAGCCAAACTGAGAATTATGAAGCGCATTTAAGAAAGCGGTGTTTTGAAGATTTGCATTTAAGCTGGATCCACCTGAGGGGTGCCACCTGAGTGGGGCCGAGTAGGGTTCTGTGAATGAGAGCCTTCGCTTCTCATGCCTTGTCTGTAAAATGGAACACGCAGGTTTCCACGGCGAGCATTTCAGCAGCAGGATTTTTCCATGGGAGCCTTCGCTTAACATGTGATGTCTGTGAAATGGAACACGCGAGTTTCCACGGCGAGCGTTTCAGCGGCAGGCTTTTTCCATCAGAGCCTTCGCTTCATCTGCAAACATGTTTGCGATATAGAGAGTGAAACACGTGGTTCGCCAAAACTGGTTCCATGAGGCCTCCCGGGCAGCAGCTGCTTCACATGTCTCTGCAGGAAGCTTTGGCGTAATCCGCTTCCTTCTTTCTGTGAAGTAGTTGATTTTGCTTCCCTGTTTTCAGCGGTTCTGCTGCAACAAAACCCAACCGAAAAAATAGCAGGGATCAGATTTCAGGCAGGGACCTTGCTTGGGGTGAGCCAATTGAAACACAAAAGCACCACAAAAAGGCGTGGGGAGAAAAGCGGATGTGAGTCCATGGAGGCCAAGCATCGCGCCTTCAAGAACTGCATTGCGGACAGGGTCGGCCAGTTTGCGGGCGGAGTCATTCCCGCGGCGTCTCTGCCGCGCTTGCTTCTCTCACATGTGCACGGCTTGATCAGCACGACGTCTTCCAGTTGGGCCTGCGAAAGCCGACGGAATGCCCTGCAGCAACACTTGCCGCGCGACGATCGCAGCACACCTCTTGCGGCCAAAGAGGCCCGCTTGCCGCACGTTTCGGTCGCTTGCGGCGATGTGCTGCGCACGCGCGACAAAGCCTGCAGAGCGCGAGAATGCTGCGACAACGGCAGCCTTCTCTTCATTGTACAAGAGCTGCGCTTCGACCCAAGCACGCAACTGGCGCCTTTTGTTTCGCGTTGCTTTGTTTCTCGCTCGGCTTGTGCTGTTGCAAGTTGGTGTACGGTGCGCGCTTCAGCTGGCGCGTCGTGGTGGACACTCAGCGCCAACATGAAGACCCGTGCTGGTGGCTGTGGGAGACGGATCAATCTCTGCTGTGCCTGGAGCAAAAAACGAGTCGCAGCGCTTGCGCAGCCGTGCCGTGTAAACAGCGCGGCTGCAAAACTACATGTTTATCGCGCGCGCTGTATTTATGTAAATGATGCAATTACATGTCCTATTTCTTTTTCCTAGAGTCAAGCATTTTGTCTTGCCGAAATGCGCTGATCAGCCGAGCAGTAACACAAACCAACTACACTCCAACAAAACTCAGAACAATCAAAATAAACGCATATATCAACGTCACTGTTTGCGCTTTTTCAAAAGCGATGCTTTTAGCAGCTTTTTTCAAGCTAACATGCTTTTGGCAGAAACGCCCCGTTTCCGGATAACTAAACTAACTAAAATAAGCAAAATGATAAGTCAAGCTAACTGCTGCTGACTGATATTGTAGACTATAACTGCATAACTGTTAACGAACCCACGTTGGCGCAACCTCTTTTCTCAGGAGCGATTCATATCGGGTCTCTGTAGCCTTCCCGTGCCAGCCGCGCCCGATGACCTCCAATCCCTTTAATCCCCTGAGACAGCTACCGCGTGCCAACACACAGACAGATGAAGGAAATGCTGCGCCTGTCACGCAAAAACGGGGTCCTCAGCCACGCTCGACAACATCCAATCCCTTTGCTACCCCCCTTGAAATACTCAGGTTTTTGGCCAGCCAGACTGGGGGTGACAAATGCCTTGAGGCTCTGAAATGAACTGACTGGACGCTCGCCTCCATGCAAATTCCAGCCAAGCAGAAGTTAAACTCAACGTTGAGTAGGAGTTGCGAGTTGTGTGACGGTCAGATTGGCGTGCGCGAGCTGCGCTTAAAGTCACATTGGGTTACCGAAGTATGTTTTGGAAGCTTCAACGCGCCTGTAGCAGCTCTACTATTTTGCGTTTATTGTTTTTGGCAACGATATTCAGGAAATTCATCAACATGGGGAAAAGGAACTCAATCCTACTTCATGTCCTTGCGCAGTTGCATTTACATGGTAGCTTGAGTGTTGCGCATAATTCCATGCGCATGCTAGTTCGGTCTATTTGACACATATGTTGCAAAGCAACTATCCCATGTGTGTGCTTGCCCAAGTTGGTTCACTCATCGCCAATAACAACTATTGGAATTCAAGTAAGAGAAGGATATCCAGTTTAAAACTCTTTCGGGTTTCAACCACATTCAAGTTTACTCGTTTGCGGTTTCTTGCGCATTTCAACAAATCAACTGGAGAAGACAGCTATTGGCATGGCCAAGTGAATTTGGAAACAAACTCAATTTTGAAAGGGTTGTTGTCCTTATCGAACATCATGTGGTTTGAACCGAGCAAGAACTGAGCCAAGCCAATGACAGGAACGTCTTTTCAATCATAGATCTTATTCTTGGCATGAACGCTGTAAAACGCAGTGTTTTCAGCATTTGCTCAGATCGGGTTGCCCTGGATCAAAGATCGACTAGACAAGATTCCGCAAACATATGTTTAGAACATCCATCCTGGTCCCCAAAATCTTGACACTTTGTTCTAGACTCATTAAGGTTTTGCCCCCTGCGTTGAAGATTAAAGATCTACCAGAGTTTTTTGATTTGAGAATCTTCCATCCTGGCCAGCCCTCAAGTCCACAAAAAACCTGTAAGGGTGTCAACAACATTTTTCCCCCCTGGCCACATGCAGGCACTACAAGTGCACATCCACAACTTGATTCTGACAAAATGCGCTCCCGGTCTGCCTTTTGGATTCTTCAAATCCGCTTAGGGCAATCCAGGGTCTGGATTGAAGATTGAAGATTCTCTGACAACTCTTTCTGAAATTCTCCAATATGTACTTAGGGCAATCCAGGATGTGCTAGCACGTGCTAGCGCGTCCTGGATTGAAGATTGAAGCTTGAAGATTCTCAGACCACTTGTTCTGGAAATCTTCAATCCACCCTTAGGTACACTGATATGTGCTAGCACGTGCTAGCACATCCTGGACTGAAGATTGAAGATTGAAGATTCTCTGACAACTCTCTCTGGGCTTCTTCAATCTTCAATCTTCAATCCAGGATGTGCTGGGTGCTAGCACATATCAGTTTGTCCTAAGGATGGACTGAAGATTTCCAGAACAAGAATCTTCATCCAGGATGTGCTAGCATGTGCTAGCACATCCTGGGTTGCACTAAGTACCGATGCTAAAATTTAAGTGTAAAAAGGAGTGCATGTTTAGCGCCTCACTTTGAAAGCTGGAACGTGTGTTTTGCATGAATTTTTACAGCCAAAATGTCAATGTGCGGGTATTCCAGGGGAAGCACCATCCCTTTAGACAGCTACCAAATGCCGCGCCATGCCACGCAAACACACACCCAGCGAGTGTGAGTGAGTGAGGGAGTGTGAGCGGGTGAGTGAGTGAGCGAGTGAGCGAGTGAGTAAGTGAGTGAGTGCTCATCATATCCAGCCGCTGCTCCCAAAAGGCAGACAAATCGCTACAAAGTTGCTATTTTCGAGCTGGAGCTGCGGACGTGCGCTGCGCCTGTTCTCCACATCTTTGCGCGCGGCCCCTCTTTCTACCGCTGCGCGCCAACCGCCGTCCATGGCCCGCGCCCGCCGCTCACTCACCCACTCGCTGACTCACTCACTCACTCACTCACTCACTCACTCACTCACTCACTCACTCACTCTCTCTCACTCACTCACTGACTCACTCACTCACTGACTCACTCACTCACTCACTCACTCACTCGCTCGCTCACTCGCTCACCCGCTCACACTCCCTCACTCATCTGGGTGTGTGTGTTTGAGTGGCATGGGCAGCATTTGGTAGCTGTCTAGATGGATTGGGTGTTGTCGAGCGCGCGGCTGCGGTGAGTGGCGCATCACTTTGGAGATGGCTTGCAAATTTCGTGCCAGGCGCACCATTTCCTACATGTGGGTGTACGTCTGTCTGGCATGGGCAGCATTTGGTAGATGTCTACCGGGACTCGATGATGTCAAGCGCGCGGCTGAGGGCCCCGTTTTGCGTGACAGGCGGCTTTCTTGTTCGTGGCGTGGCGCAGTTTTTGACGGCTGTCTACAGGGCTTGGATGTTTGTCGCGCCGGCGGCTGGGGGCCCCGTGTTTGCGTGACAGGCGCAGCACTTTGGACATGGCTTGCAAATTTCGTGGCAGGCGCATCATTTCCTGCATCTCACTTTCCTGTCCGTGGCATGGCGCAATGTTTGATGGCTGTCTAAAGGGGTTGGATGTTGTCGAGCGCGCGGCTGGGGGCCCCGTTTTGCGTGACAGGCGCAGCGCTCTGGAGGTGGCTTGCCAAGTTTCGCGGCAGGCGCAGCATTTCCTGCGTCCGTGCGCACGCTTACGTCGCCTGGCGCAAGACGCTGTCGAGCGCGCAGCTGGGGGCCCCGTATTTGGGTGACAGGCGCAACTTCTTGGCGATGCTTGCAAATTTCCTGGCAGGCGCAGCATCTCCGGGCGTCGAGCGCGCGGATGCGGGCCCCGATTTGCGTGACAGGCGTAGCGCTTTGGAGATGGCTTGCAAATGTCGTGGCCCATCACTCTCTCACTCACTCACTCACTCACTCACTCACTCACTTGCTCGCTCGCTCGCTCGCTCGCTCGCTCGCTCACTCTGCTTATTGTCTGGATCGAAACAAATCCTGCCTCTTTGAGATGCTCGGCCTGGACCCCGCAAATTATACACCAGCTTTGCGGACACACGTTGCCATGCACCATGATGGCATTCTACTGGCATCTGAAAACAAACAGAACTCTTCTTGCGAACATGTTATGTTGTTGTGCGCTTGTTTGCAGGCTGCTGGCAAGGAAGGATTGACTGCGCTTTTGGCTGCCGAGAAGGAACTGAGAGCAACGGGCAGCCCGACGCAGAAGGATGTGGCGCCAGATTGGTTTGATGTCGCTGGTGCGCACGACAGCAAGACTCCCGACACGATGTTCCAAACTTTCGTGCGCTGCTTTTGCAAATGGCTTAGTCACGGGCGCTCCGAGAGCTTTTTCCGTACAAAGGCACTTCCGCAGCTCCAGCTCGACTGTCGCTTTTGGAGGGGGCCTATCGCTTTTCCAGGAGATTTCACGTTTCCGCACATGGAAGTCAATCCTTAGATCCGCTTTGTAGTCGCAACTGGTTGATCGCGAATAGTTAAGCTGGAAATTCGGGAGTTGCTCGGGCCATGTCACCAGCGGGCGCTAGACCCATTCTACCCGTTTCTGGTTAGACCCAATCAAGGCTGCGCCAATCACCTTACCCCAATGCCATTTTTCTTGGACCCTGTAGGTCAACCAACATTGCCTAAACATCGGCAACGGCTAGTGAGAACAGGTTAAAACTTTGGGACCCCCGCCCTTACCTGTGCCTTGCACTGAAAAAACGCGCCTGCTCGGTACTGCACGCCTGAAGAAGCTCCTTGTGGAAGCCAACGGGCGGAAGAGCAAATCAACAAATCTAAAAACAACCGCAGCGAATGCGCTTCCAGGTCCCACATACAGATTGGGACTAATACTTGCAGTTCTAAGGCAACAAATCTGGGTGGTATGAAAGGCGCTCTGCGCCTTTAACCTGCCAAGCCGCTACAGACCCACCCGTGGCGATTTGGGTGATCCTATGCTAAGTAGGCTGCGCGCCTGGAGAGAGAGAGAGAGAGAGAGAGAGAGAGAGAGAGAGAGAGAGAGAGAGAGATAGATAGATATAGAGAGAGAGAGAGGTGACAGCAACTTGTCAGGTGGGGCTGGGGAGGTTGGGTGCGCGCGCGCGTGGACCCGTGCGTGGGTGCCAGCGCGAGCGCTTGCGCGCCTTCGCGCTCGCGCATCTGCGTGAATGCGCGCGAGTGCGTGACTGGGCGCGTACGTGCGTACATGTGTGCATGCACGCGTCCGTGCCTGCGCGCTTGCACGCTTGCAAGCCCGCGTGTCTGCCTGCCTGCGCAGCTGTGTGCCTGCTGCGCCTCAACACCTGCGCGCCTCAACACCTGTGTGGCTGGACGCCTGCGTGCGCGGCCAGGCCGGGGCTGCGCTCTCTGTGGCTGGGGCCAGAACATAAAGCAATCCGCCAGCGGGGGCAAGTATAGCACTGCGGGCTGGACTGCAAACGTTGGCCCACACTGCCTGAAATGGACGGGGGGAATTCCACTCGGGAACGCCTCACAATATAATTGGCGGCATCTCTCTGCGGCAATTGCCTGGGTAGGCCGGGGAGGGCGCTTAATCTTGAGAGTAAGGCTGAAGCTGCCGCGAGCTGGCGCTGGGCGCAACCCTTGAAGTATAAGAAGGCTACAGCATGGATGCCACTTTTAGGTCTTCATCATACTCATCTGGGAGCATGTCAAGGTTTGGGAACAGTCCGCAGTTCAACTGGGAATCCTGATTTGGCGTATATTCAAACCCTCCCACTTTGGATTTCCTTCTGCGACAAACTCGGGCGAGATTGCGATCAAAACAGTAGGTTTTTTCACACTGACGCCGTGTTTGTCGTTTGTGAAATCAGTCTGCCAACGTCGCCATGCTGCAGCGCGGAAACAGTCTTGGACTTACATCAAAAACTCCCTTGCCAGGGGTGTAACTTTCGAACCCACGCGCCCTGCTGGATAGTTGCTGCTGAATAGAACAGTTTTCAACCATTTCCCCACGGACATCAACCATTTCAGGAGGGGCGTTTGAGCCTAGTGACAAAAGGCAAGTTAAGGAAAAACTGTCCTGAGATGGCTGGGCGCCGGGCGCCGTAATCCGGGTGCTTGCTGATGAGCCAGCCGCAGCGCTGCAGCTTTATCCGGCCCTGTCTGGTGCCTTTTCCCGCACCAAGACAACTAGATCACTTTCAAAGAGTTTGCTTGTGTCACAGAAAGCGTGAGGGCGGAGGAGAAAGCACCCTCGGCGCGCTTGGGGCGGTCAGTTGGCTCTTGCTGTGGCGCGGTGCTCGTTTTGGGCGACTGAGCGAGAGGGCGAGTGAGTGAGTAAAACGAGTGGAGTGAGTCAGTGAGTGAATGAGTGAGTGAGTGGAGTGGAGTGAAGAGGAGTGGGGTGGAGTGGAATGAAGTGGAGTGGAGTGGAGTGGAGTGGAGTGCAGTGGAGTGGAGTCGAGGGGAGGGAAGGGGAGTAGAGTGAGTGAGTCAGCAAGCGAGCGGGTGAGTGAGTGAGTGAGTGAGTGAGTGAGTGCGTGCGTGCGTGCGTGAGTGAGGAAGTGAGTGTGTGGAAGTGAGGATGTGAGTGCGTGCGTGCGTGCGTGATGGAGTGGGTGGGTGAGTGAGTGGGTGAGTGGGAGTGGGTGAGTGGGTGAGTGGATAAGTGAGTGAGTGAGTGAGTGAGTGAGTGAGTGAGTGAGTGAGTGAGTGAGTGAGTGAGTGAGTGAGTGAGTGAGTGAGTGAGTGAGTGAGTGAGTGAGTGAGTGAGTGAGTGAGTGCGAGTGAGTGAGTGAGTGAGTGAGTGAGTGAGTGAGTGAGTGAGTGAGTGAGTGAGTGAGTGAGTGAGTGAGTGAGTGAGTGAGTGAGTGAGTGAGTGAGTGAGTGAGTCGCCACCCCGCCCTACTCCACTCCACTCCACTCCGCTCCACTGCCTCCACGCCACTCCACTCCACTCTACTCCACTCCACTTCACTCCACTCCACTCCACTCCACTCCACTCACTCACTCACTCTCTCTCTCTCTCACTCACTCACTCACTCACTCCCTCACTCGCTCTCTCACTCACTTACTCACGCACTCACTCACTCACTCATCACTCCACTACTCCCCTCCCCTCCCCTCCCCTCCGCTCCACTCCACTCCACTGAGTGAACGAGTGAGTGAGTTGGTGCGTGGAGTGAGTGAGTGAGTGAGTGAGTGAGTGAGTGAGTGAGTGAGTGAGTGAGTGAGTGAGTGAGTGAGTGAGTGAGTGAGTGAGTGAGTGAGTGAGTGAGTGAGTGAGTGAGTGAGTGAGTGAGTGAGTGAGTGAGTGAGTGAGTGAGTGAGTGAGTGAGTGAGTGAGTGAGTGAGTGAGTGAGTGAGTGAGTGAGTGAGTGAGTGAGTGAGTGAGTGAGTGAGTGAGTGAGTGAGTGAGTGAGTGAGTGAGTGAGTGAGTGAGTGAGTGAGTGAGTGAGTGAGTGAGTGAGAGTGAGTGAGTGCGTGAGTGCGTGAGTGCGTGCGTGCATGAGTGAGTAAGTGAGTGTGTGGAAGTGAGGATGTGAGTGCGTGCGTGCGTGCGTGACGGAGTGGGTGGGTGAGTGAGTGGGTGAGTGGGTGAGTGGGAGTGGGAGTGGGAGTGGGAGTGGGAGTGGGAGTGGGAGTGGGAGTGGGAGTGGGAGTGGGAGTGGGAGTGGGAGTGAGTGAGTGAGTGAGAGTGAGTCAGTCAGTCAGTCAGTCAGTCAGTGAGTGAGTGAGTGAGTGAGTGAGTGAGTGAGTCGCCACCCCGCCCCACCCCACCCCGCTCCACTCCACTCCACTCCACTCCACTCCACTCCACTCCACTCCACTCCACTCTACTCTATTCCACTCCACCTCCACTTCACTCCACTCCATCCCTCTCTCTCTCTCTCTCTCACTCACTCACTCACTCACTCACTCACTCTCTCACTCACTCACTCACTCTTTGACTCTCTCACTCACTTACTCACGCACTCACTCACTCACTCATCACTCCACTCCACTCGACTCCCCTCCCCTCCCCTCCCCTCCCCTCCGCTCCACTCCACTCCACTGAGTGAACGAGTAAGTGAGTGAGTGAGTGAGTGCGTGCGTGCGTGCGTGCATGAGTGAGTAAGTGAGTGTGTGGAAGTGAGGATGTGAGTGCGTGCAAGCGTGCGTGACGGAGTGGGAGTGGGAGTGGGAGTGGGAGTGGGAGTGGGAGTGAGTGATTGAGTGAGTGAGTGAGTGAGTGAGTGAGTGAGTGAGAGTGAGTGAGAGTGAGTGAGAGTGAGTGAGAGTGAGTGAGTGAGTGAGTGAGTGAGTGACTGAGTGACTGAGTGAGTGAGTGTGTGAGGGAGGGAGGGAGCGAGGGAGTGAGGGGTGAGGGAGTGAGAGAGTGAGTGAATGAGTGAGTGAGTGCGTGAGTGAGGGAGGGAGCGAGCGAGCGAGCGAGCCAGTGAGTGCGTGTGTGGGTTGGTGGGTTGGGGTGTGCGTGCGTGCTGGCGTGAGTACGTGAGTGCGTGAGTGCGTGGGTGAGTGAGTGCATGAGTGAGTAAGTGAGTGTGTGGAATGATGTGAGTGCGTGCGTGCGTGCGTGACGGAGTGGGTGGGTGAGTGAGTGGGTGAGTGGGAGTGGGTGAGTGAGTGAGTGAGTGAGTGAGTGAGTGAGTGAGTGAGTGAGTGAGTGAGTGAGTGAGTGACTGAGTGAGTGTGTGAGGGAGGGAGGGAGCGAGCGAGTGAGTGAGTGACTGAGTGGGGGAATGAGAGAATGAGAATGAGTCATCCTACTTTCCACCTCGAGCCAAAAGGTAAGTGGGAGATTTCATTCGGGTTCGTGGCTTCTATCTGATTGTTTTGAATGGACAACAGGAAGCAGCCACAGACGACATGCAGCCTGACATCAAACGAGAAGCGGGCTCATGCCAGCGCTGAGTGACTAGGTCTGCATCAGCTACCCCATCGCTCACATACTCTGGGTGGGGGGGGGTGCTTATCTTGTTTCGAAAGTGCTTTGAAGATGTTTTTAAACATAAAACAACACCCCATACTGTGAAGATGTTTTGAGACCAAAGGGCAACACCCCGTACTTTGTTGTTGTTGTTGTTGTTGTTGTTGTTGTTGTTGTTGTTGTTGTTGTTGTTGTTGTTGTTGTTGTTCGACGGGCCTGTGTGAAAGGCGCACTAACTCGCACTAACCAAGGCCATGCCTAGTCCAACAACCTAATCCGACAACACACTCAAACCGTAAATGTAAACTTACCCAACGCAAGCCGACAAGTGAGCCAACTCAAGCCAATCAAACCCAACCCAACCAACCCCACCCAACTAACCTGACCACATTGATCGCAGCCTGCCGCATCTTGGGATGTCGCACAAAGGAGCCCTCTGGCAGCATGACCCAAGGCACCTGTCGCGGGTTTTGATGTGCGATGCGATGAAGCATGTGGCGTGTAAGTGCCATAGCCCAAGGGGTTTTGTACCTTGGACGGTGGTTTTGCAGCGGTTTGCAGCCGCTTGGCTACGAACACCAAAAAGGATATTGCAATGGCTTGGGCTCCTTGTGCAACCATGGGGTTCTTCAAGTCAATCAAGAAGTCGGCAGAAGACTGCTTTGTCCACGCTATCAACGGCTCCTAGCGCATGAAGCCTAGGCTCTGCCTGGGTAAGCAAGAGGGGTCCCTGAGCCACATGGCACAAGTCACACACGCATCACAATTGACCAGGAGTGCGTGCACTCAGGGAGGTCGACCCGGGTCATGCTTGAGCTGGGCTGGAGAGCGTCACCGATCTTCTTGACTTCCTGCCTTCTTAATCTTCTGGGCCGCGGTGAAGTTCGGATCGTAGGCGATGCACCAACGCCACGCGCTGAGGACTTCCTGCAACGCATCTGCAACGTCGTGGTCTGAAGCTAGCCGGCGAAGTTCGCAACCGACTCGCTTCAAGTTGGCCCTCGGCTGAAAGGCTTGAAAAACCGAGCGAACGCCCAAGCAGGGGTGACTCGTCGAATTCCGCGGCATCGTGGCACTTCGGGAATCTGCCACAGACCAGCAGAACTCCGCCGGCACTGCCGGCGTGTCTTGTGGATGTTCTTGTATGTGTAGTCTTGTTCGTGTTTTAGTGCTGTGTTGTATTGTGCCTTGGCCCGGATTTTTGCCTCGTGTATTCCAGCCGGCTATCTCAAGCCAGGTTGCTTCAAGTCCCCCCCCCTCCCCCCCCCCCCCCCCCCCTCCCCCCCCTCCCCCCCCTCCCCCCCCCTCCCCCCCCTCCCCCCCCTCCCCCATAAAAAAAAATTAATGTCACAAATGGCACTCTTCTAAATCAAAACCAAATAATCAAACAGCATACAACAAAATCAGCAAAATTCACAGAAAACAAGATAAGAACCACCAAGCAACTCAAAAACCAGAACAACCCCCAACAAAAAATTTAATCAAAGCATAAAACATTAAATAATTCAAACAAGCATACCAACAAAACAGCAAAAATAAAAACCATCAAAGAACCCAATCTCAAAAACACACAAAATCAAAAACAAAGCAACATACCATCAAAAAATATCAGAAGAGTATCAAACAAAATAAAATACAAACAGCCAAAGCACGAAAAAATCAAAAGAGCATACCAAGTTCAAACAACGCACTTTGAAAGAGTCAGCCAAATCAAGAAAAAATAAAATATTTCAATCTTTACAAACTATAAGTACAGTATAATTATAACATATAGAATTTTACATGTTATTATTATAGTATGAAACAAGCATAACTACATGTCCTATGTGTCATTGTCAAACACACATGCCCCTATGTGTCAAACACACATACCCCTATGTGTCAAACACACATACCCCTATGTGTCAAACACACATACCCCTATGTGTCAAACACACATACCCCTATGTGTCAAACACACATACCCCTATGTGTCAAACACACATACCCCTATGTGTCAAACACACATACCCCTATGTGTCAAACACACATGCCATATGTGTCAAACACACATGCCATATGTGTCAAACACACTGCCATATGTGTCAAACACACATGCCCTATGTGTCAAACACACTTGCCCTATGTGTCAAACACTCATTAAAATTTCACTGATAAGATTTTCGGGTATTCTGTATAGGTCTTCCTGTTTATGTATTGTTGGATTGTCTCCCCATTTTTCCTTGTTTCCATTTGGCAGTCTCTGCGCAGTTTCAATATGTTTATTATTCCTGATGTTGCCACAATCTTTTTTACATAAATCTCTAGGTTTCCAAGTTGTAATGTTATTCCATAGCCTAGTGCGTTTTCTGTAAGGCATTCCATATTTACAATAATCTACATCTTTAAATTCAAACTCATCCATAAACTCCTGATTTTTTAATAATCCAGTTTGTGGATTTTCGATTACAAAATATTTAGGATTAAAATATTTGATAATCTCAATAGTTTTTAAGACAATACTATTTGCATATTCCATATTCCTAATGCCCCTAGTTTTTGCTACACTATATTCAGTGCATGGAGGACTTGCCCAGATAAAATCAAAATGGTTCCTATCAAATTGTTTATAATCCCATTTCAAAATATCAGTATGTATATCAGCATTTTTCAAATCCAATGAAATAACATTGAAACCGAGCGACTTTGCAACAAGTCCAACACTGCCTGTTCCGCTAAACATCTCTAATAAGTTCATTATTAAAGATATTTAGATAATATTATCTATGAGTAAATGCAACTTTATGAATAAACCCCTGTATCTTCATCATAGTCGATTTGATAAAATGTCATAGTTGAAGCCTTCGGTTCTTTAATTTCTTTGTTATTAAGTTTGTTTAAATACGTTTGTTTCTTATTTTTATATTCAGCACTGGTTCTATCTACTTCTTTACTTTGATAACTGTTTGTTAAAGGTTTCTTCTTTTCCATTTCTTGCAAGATTTCTAAAATATTCTTATTCTGTTCTAAAACCTTGTTCAGTTTTTTAACAATCTTTTCTAATCCTTCATCCATGTAAATATATATATTATATTATAAAATAAAACTTTTAAAACTAAACTTTTATTTTACAAAATCATATATCATTATAAGTCAATTCAAAATTAGTTATTGTGTAACTCGTTAAATTATTATTCAATTTACCAATTAAATTACAAATAATAGTTTTTCTAAATTTTGAATATTTATGAAACTTTTCAATATTATCTGTAATATAAATTATTAAACATTTAATACATTCAAACACATTAACAACATTAATGTTACTATTTTTGTAAATATTATTCATTTTTCTCAATGTAATTTCATAAAACTGAATAGCATTTTTATTATCATAATTAGCAATAAATCTTAAAGTATATGAATATATTCTTTTACAATAAAATTTTAAATCTGATTGTTCAAATAAATCAGCATAATTAATAGAATTATAAAACATGTTAAAATCAATTTTGCTATTTCTAAAGTCATTAACAAAATTAATTAATATATCATTTTCGTTATATTCTTCAATAAAATTATTCAATTTCAATTCTTTTACATCAATGAATTTAAGAATATTATTTATACCATCTTGCATTATAAATAATAATAGAAATAATTTTAACTATTGTTTTTCATCATTTCGCGTATAGTTTCCTGAGTTTCCTTATCACTATTATCGGTTGGTGATGCATGCCGTCCCCATTTGATAGCAATATTATGAACATCTGTTTCTAAGTTTATACTGTCTTTAGTTTTATCAATATTCATTTTCTTATCATTTCTACTTATTTTGAAACTGGTTGGAATACACGAACATTTACAGTTTCCTTTCTTTTGTATTTCTAATTCATTTTTTAATTCTAACATCTTTTTACACATTGGACAAGCAAACTCAATAACTGATGTTTCTTTAACAATTTCTTCTTTTTCTTCATCAGTTGAAGAAACAACTGATTCTGTCTTATTCTTTTTCTTTCTCCCCATCTATATTAATATTTATATTTTTAATATATTGTATCACAAACTTAATTAATTCTAAAACAAAATAGCATACTTTTTTAAATCTATTATCAGTTAGTATTACTTGTTCTATATTTTCTACTTTATCTATTATATCAATATAATCCGAATAACTTCTATTCATATAAAATAATAAATATAAAATATTTTCTAAATAACTTTAATATTATTTTATTATGTCTGATGTTCCAATAATAAAACCAATAAATATAACTGATTACGATTTCAAACAATCTAAATATGAACATGTGCCAAAACTACCTTTTCGCTCAATTGTTGTTGCTTCATCAACGGGTGGCAAAACAGTTTTAATTCAAAACCTTATCCTAAATGTTTATAGGGACTGCTTCGCCCGTATATTCATTTTTAGCCCGTCGGTTCATAATGACCCTACCTTCGTTGAAGTCAAGAAATATCAAAAAGATAATATGAAGGTTGATGATGAAAAAGAAAAGTTATATTATGACACCTACCAACCTGAAGAACTAGAAGAAATAATTAACACACAAAGAAAGATAATTCATTATATGAAAGAACAGAAGATGAAGAAATTATATTCAATTCTTATTGTTATTGATGATTTTTCAGATGACCCTAAATTTTTAAGATATTCAAAAATATTACACGGTTTATTTACGCGCGGAAGACATGACGCCATCTCTTGCATATGTAGTCTTCAAAAATATAAAACAGTCGCCAATATAATTCGTGTCAATGCCAGTTCATTATACATTTTTAGATTAAAGAATATATCAGAGTTAATGAGTTTTATTGAAGAAAACGCAGCGATAGTTGATAAGGACAAACTTTTAGAAATGTACCATACAGCAATAAATCATTCTACATATTCATTCTTTTTCGTTAATTTGAATTCAAAAGATGTTAATCGTATGTTCTATATTAATTTCGAGAAACGATTTACAATTAAAGATTAACTTATATTACTTAATAGGACTTTATAATGCCACGAAAAGAAATGAATTACACCAAAACACATTTTTATAAAATAGTATGTAATGATTTAAATATCAAAGACTGCTATGTGGGTCATACAATAAACTTCAAAAATAGAAAGTCGGCTCATAAAAGAACCTGTAATAATGAAAATGACAAAATACATTACAATATGCCTTTGTATAAATTCATTCGTCAAAATGGTGATTGGGACAATTTTGATATGATGATAAACACTGAAACATGTGAAAATAGATTAATGGCTTTGAAGCGTGAGAGGGAATATATAGAAGAACTAAACGCAACATTAAACAAAGCACGTCCATTTAGAACAGATGAGGAGTTGAAAGAATATAAAAAGGAATATGTAGAAAATAATAAGGATTATATCAAGCAAAAGGCAAAAGAGTATAACGCTACTAATGCTGATAGAATAAGAGAAGCCAGAAAAGAATACAGG